AATGGTTCACTGGTTTACTGCCCACGAGGAGAAAATGCCCCTGAGCGCCGCCCCCGAACCGAAACGCCGTTTCGTCCCCTCGAAGCACGAGGCCAAGAGGATCGCCAAGCTCGTCAGGGCCATCAAGGAGGGCCGCATCCTGCCGTACAAGCCGCCTGAAGAGAGGGAGAAGGAGGAGGCCGAGAAGGAAGAGACCTACTACGACATCTGGGCGAACGAGGAGGAGCGCCCGCCGCACATTATGAACATTCCCGCACCCAAGCTCCCGCCGCCCGGCTACGACCTCAGCTACAACCCGCCCCCTGAGTACCTCCCGACCGAGGCCGAGAAGGAGGAGTGGGAGAAGGCGGACGCCGAAGACAGGGAAAAGGAATACCTCCCCGCCAAGTTCGATTCGCTGCGCAAGGTCCCCGCCTACGGCGAGTTTGTCAAGGAGCGCTTCGAGCGCTGTCTCGATCTCTACCTGGCGCCTCGCGTGCGCAAGAACAGGCTCAACATCGATCCTGCGTCGCTCCTTCCCAAGCTTCCCCGCCCCGAGGAACTCAGACCCTTCCCCACGTCCAGTCAGACCGTCTTCCGCGGTCATGAGGGCCGTGTGCGGTCGGCCGCCATCAGCCCTGATGGCGAGTGGCTTGCCAGTGGTGGTGACGACGGTACCGTCCGTCTGTGGCACCTTCGCACTGGTCGTCAGGAGTGGTCTGCCAAGATCAGCCTGGACGAAGCCGTCAACGTCGTCCGCTGGCGCCCGACCAAGGACACCTTCATCCTGGCGGCGGCCGCCGGAGAGGACATCTTCTTCGCCGTGCCCCCTCGCGGAGCAGACGGCGTTGACAAGGCCAGCCGCGACATCCTCGATGCCGGCTTCGGTTATGCGACACAAAACCCCCAACCTACGGCCACCATCACCAAGGAGCAGCCCGGCAAGTGGGCTCGCCCTGGTTCCAAGCTCGAGGCCCTCGGCGTTCTGCTCAAGGCCACCGTCAGATCAACCGTCAAGGTCATCAACTGGCACCGACGTGGCGATTTCCTCTGCACCGTCTCCCCCACAGGACAGCGCAGCGCCGTCGCCATCCACACCCTCTCCAAGCATCTGACTCAGATCCCGTTCAGGAAGCTCCCCGGACTGGCCCAGACGGCCCAGTTCCACCCTTCGCGCCCCCTCTTCTTCGTCGCGACTCAGCGCATGATCCGCTGCTACGACCTGCAGCGCCAGGAGCTCATCAAGGTCATCCAGCCCGGCGCCCGCTGGATCTCCTCCTTCGACGTCCACTCGGGCGGCGACAACATCGTCGTCGGCTCCTACGACCGCCGCCTCCTCTGGCACGACCTCGACCTCTCCACCCGCCCCTTCAAGACGATGCGCTTCCACGCCGAAGCCATCCGCGCCGTCAAGTTCCACCGCGGCCTGCCCCTCTTCGCCGACGCCTCCGACGACGGAACCCTGCAGATCTTCCACGGCAAGGTCGTCAGCGACCTCATGGAGAACCCCACCATCGTGCCTGTCAAGATGCTCAAGGGCCACAAGGTCGTCAACAAGCTCGGCGTTCTCGACGTCGACTGGCACCCCTCGGAGCCGTGGTGTGTCAGCGCCGGTGCCGACGGCACCTGTATCCTGTGGACCTAAACAAAAGTACGGGAGAAGGGAAAGAAAAAGTGGCAATCTATCCGTCTCTCTGGGTATATGGGAGAGGATACTTGTATGTTTTTGCACCAAAAAAGACAGCGAGGCGTTGGGAACCACCAAAAAGAAACCAAAAGAAACCAAACCCCATCATTTGCTTTTGTTAATTGTTGTTTTAAAATCTGCATTGTGTTAGATAGTACCTTGTAGATTTTTGAAGAGGTATCATAATGGACGTCAACTTTGCACATACAGCATCGTTCTAAAGAGTTTGCATACTGTGATCAGCACCAATCAATCGCTCGAGCCAGAATCATCAAAAAAGGGTCATTCACCCTCACGTTAAGGGTTAAAAATGCAGTGAACTACGCTCTTGTACGATATCTACACTTTGATCGGTCACACTTATTCGGCCCAGCTATGTGCTGCATATGTTCGTAAACATCTCCGCCTTAGAAACTGAGGGGAAACGGGGCTTCCGGGCTGGATACCTCAGCGCGGCCTAGACTAGGGCAGAGCTATCATGCCTTGGTAATGCAACTTTTTTGGACTGAATCTTCTAATCTTCTTACGCAAATGGCCGCTGTTTGTGAAAAGAAAAGCATCATTGACATTTATCGACTTCACGTGCTACAAGTGCTGCAAAGACCCCGAGATCCCTAGACCCAGACCCAGATATGCTAACTATACGGAACCGAATCCCTGTTTGTGAATCCCATTGCGGGTTCACGATATATAAAATGCGTTCCCATATACTTTAAGAACTAGTTAGTGGTGACTACGTATCTTCAATCAGGGGACATGGTTCACCTCTGCGTTAGATGTCTCAAATGCAGTGAAGACCAAGGGGAGGCGACTATGTCCGAGAGGGTATGTAGGACCCTCACAGAACGGCAAAAGTCCACATGAGGTCTACGCTGTAGTCCAATCGTTCGGCGGCGCATACATATGTATACGCACCCCGCTGTGAAACCTAAGGGGTGAATTTGGGATTGAAGGAGCTGGGCTAGACATGTCAGCGTAGAGGGCTACACCACGTATATTAGCAGTGAACGTGCTGCTGTTTTTCTTGGTAGGATGATTTATACATCAACTTAGTACTGGAAACTTAACCAAAATAACACATTATACGTTGCGTGCCGTGTGATAACCTCAAGCTTCCTAGACCTGCAAGGTTCCAAGGATCCAAGGGTCCCAACGCAATAATCAACCACGAACGCCTTGTGTTTCCACGACCCTATTGAACTGACAGCGGCAGGGGCCATCGTTCACTCGCGCGTTGGGGGTTAAAAATGCAGTGAAATGACTAGGGTTGAGGAAGCCCTTCCAATTGGTGTGAGTGAAACTGAATTAACTGTCCAATCATTTACACTTATTCCGCCTAACGACGCAATGACATATGCAAAGATTCCCGCCTTGCCTAGGGAGTAATCCAGGACCTTTTACATACTGGGTGCATGTCAACGTGGCCTAGACTGGGCAGTGCTACCATCCTTTTCTTTTGGTAATACGATTTCTATATGTAATTGATCTTGTAAGTTTCCACGAGAATGGGCTCCGTTTGTGAAAAAGGCTACATTAACACCTGTCGACGTTGTTGGCTGGACACCTGCGTCAGCTCGGGGGCTCCAGCAATTCAGGGACGCCAGCTGTAACTCGTATCTTTCTTCTTGTTGCGGTCTTTGTTCAACTACAAACTCTTATAACTTGACAATAATAAAGGCCGGTTTGGATTTGCGGGCTATCAACAAGTAGGCATTGATCCAGTGGTCAAGAACAAAGCCTTAGCCATCGAGTGCCAGCAAAAACAAGGGCAAACCAACATAACAACCTTCATGCCAAAGAACCAGCTTGCGCCACCTTTCACAACCATGAAAGAGTTTGTGTTATCATTATTCATCTTCAGTTTCTATCTGTTCGCGCTTATATGCACTTAAATATTCCCGGTTTTGGAAACAAAAGGTAAAGGGCCTGACGTTATCCCTCCTCCTGTTTACGATATCTTTTCATTTTGTGGGATAACCTGTACCAAGTTGAGAATCAATCTCGCATTTGGAGCATTGAGGATATTTCCTAGTTTGCCAGGGGTGTTGAATCACTTCTCTCGTCAACGTCGTTGCTCTGAGTGCATTCGATTAACATGATTGAGAGACAATCAAGCATCACCTCCGTCAAAGTGTCAGCAGCATAACTTAGATAGATATAGACCTCGGAGCTATGACTGTTGCCATATTTAAACCACTATTGAGAGGCTACTTTCACATCTCGGCGTTGATGCTCGGCTTCTATTGGGTTGTACTAAGCCCTTCGTGTTTTTAAGGTTTTCTGCCTGTACTGTCCTAGGATGCTTGCGAAGGATGTAGGACTCGGAGAGTTGCGGACAGGATGTGCGCACCCAGGATTCGCGAAGCATAAAACCTCAACGCAGCAACCTTCAGATTTCTAATCAGCCAATGAAATTCAGGATGAGATCCATAATGTTCTTAGTTTCCCGATTCTTGTCAACATGGCGTACATAGGCTGCGCGTAGTCGAAGGCGACCGACGGCACGAAGATCCCTCCACCGACTTACAACCTGTCCCAGACTTGTTCAGGGCCGCACAAACTCCCAAGGCCGACCGAGAATGACGCCACGAAACACCCAATATGATTTTAGGCCCCTTTAAAGTAGTAATTGATATCCATATTCGATATTCAACGGTGTCTTGATGTCTTTTAGAAACAAGACCAACAAAGGCACAGAAACTTGGTATATCATTCAGCTACCAATGACTCCTCGAGCGGATTGAGATAGCCCGGCAACTTTAAATAGAGCATACATATATAGTATCAACAGATCTCATTTGCATGGACATAGCAACCCTTCAACAGAGCCCAGCAAGCAATCCAGAGGCAAAGCATACGGGCTCATCGCACACTGAATTTCTCTTGAAACACTTGACAATGAGTACGCGTTGAATCGCACAAGATGATGCCACGGTAAAAGGCTGAGATAATGTGAGACACTCTGAGAGATCTTCTCAGACGCCGTGCAACTTCAACACATGACGCCATTCTCACAGATGTGCTCGCAGATGTCTCCCATCCTCTGTCCTGCGACCCTTTCGTGAATAGACTCTGCAGAAAACATGAGTCACATCTGAAGGTCTACGGTGGTCCAAATTCGACGAGGATGCCGCAAGAGCATCTGCTTGTGATACAAAAATACCCCGCCGACAGCTACAGTTTCATCTTAGAAGGTGTTAAGTTGACGATTAAGGCTCAGCGATTTACTAATGGTTCGTGACCGTGCCCAAAGGTTCCAGCTAGCTTGTCAACCTTGACGACCCCTGTCTCTTCCCACAATGATTGACTGTACGTTTTCAAATCATCCTCATTATTAGATAGGCGATCCAGACTGAGCTGGAGCTGGGCTCTGCGTCGTAGTCTCCTCCGATGCTGGAGCAGCAGCCGGGGTCACAGCCGGCGCAGGACTATCCTTCTTCTCTGTTGTTGCCGGCTTGCGTCCTACCAAAAAGTACCTGAAATAACCCATTAACATCAACTCCTATCAACTCACAAGACCGGAAATTGAAGCCCATCAGCCAAACTCACATGGGCACATAGGCATGGTACGCCCTGTTCTTGAGGTCCTTCCGCACATCCACCAGGAAAACCTCAACTTCGTCGCGCGTCCATTCGTACGCCCGGGTCAAGGGCGCCATAGCCAGCCCATCCGCGGCCATCATTGCGTTCTCGTGGTTGAACATACCAAGCTCCTTGAAATGGGGATCCTTAGGCCACGTCCCGAGAGGCCACTTATACTTGCTCAGTGTGACATTCTCAAAACCCACATCAATCATGAGCTCCTTCAGTTCGCTAGCCACGACAAAATTGCGACCAAACTTGGCACCTGCACCTCTGAGAAGCTCGGCGAACCGCACTAGGGCGGAATCGGCTGGCAGTGTGTTATCATCGGACAGGAATGCCATTTCGGCTTCTTGAAGCTCGAGGTAACCGCCTGGTGTGATGTTGCTGCAGATGTCTTAGTGAAGAGCTCTCCAATCGACGACATCAAGTTTGTGTCAGAGTGGTGGAAGCAGAAAGATCAAACAAGTGAAGACTCAAAAGGCGGAGATATTACTTGTAGCAATTAGTTATGTACGCTTTCCAGTCGGCGAGACTCGACGTCATGTGACGGCTGTGAATGTATTCGAATGGCTTGGTGTAAGTCCACTCGTCTTCAATGTCGTCGACCTCGAACTTGACGTTTGGTGCCACGCTAGATGTGAATGTAAGAATTTGATTCGTATAACACGAGTGGTCGCGCCACTTAAGGTCGAATGCAAGAAACACTTACAAGTCAGGTTGCGTGGGAGACAAGTCGACACCGAGGACCTGAACCCATCCAATCAAAGTTTGTCCTCGTGAGGCCATACAGCTGTCTTCTGAACTTACCTCAGTCTCGGGGTGGTCATCTGCGTACTGGATAGCCCAGATACCGGTGCCGGTGCCGATGTCAAGAGCTCTCTGGACTTTGTACTCTGGGTCACACGGTGGTGCGAGGCCGAGCTTGCCGCCCAGAGTCAGAAGGGCTAGGTGATGTTGCAGGTCTGTCATCAAAGTCAGAAATCTAAATGCTAGAGGGAACGTCAAAGCCGCAGAAGCTGGAAGAGCGGGCCAGTCATGTGTGAAGAGAGGATCATAAAGCTTACGTACCCAATCTGTCATTCTCTTTTTCGTCGTTCGGAAAATGATACTCTGATTCAAGTCAGCGGCGGTACACCGTGTCGTAGTAGACTGCCAACAACGGATGCGGGAGACTCACTGCCCTCCTTGTACCGGTGATAAGTTCTGCCATTCTCGAAGTGGTAGTCGCGAAGAGACTCAGAAAGGCTGGTGCGCGAGGAGGCGATGCTCTATGCGCGTGGTCCATTTATCAGATTCAGAGCAACATCAGGAGCGAAACCAAGAACCCACCTGGACCTCAGCACCGTCTTCGACCGGGTTCTGTGTGAAATTAATCAACGATTGAGAATAAAGACGCAATGGTGCCATGGCATTCTTGGCGAAGACTCACATTATCCTCGGCTCCGATTTGAATTTCGTGATCGACCTGAGCCATCGTTTGTTCCGTAGATGACGACGCTGATCAGTATGCGATACTGCGACAACGGATCAGACTGAGATCGAGTTTCGAGGCAAGTTTGGAACGGCAAAAGTTGAGGAAAGTCGAGATGTTGGACAGAAAGAGAAAGACTCGCGGGGGGAGATTGTGCGACAACAGGCAAGGCGGAACAGACAACCCCTCCTTCCTGACCCAAGGAGAGGGGCGAGAGATCACAGATCCATATCCAGAAAAGCACCGCCAGGACCAAACATGCATATGCAGTCCAACGGCGAGGTTGCCCCTTTACGTTCTGATGTGGAGTCCGAGGAAACAACATGGCGAATGGGAGACCAACGTTGGTTGGACAAGACAGACGAGGCTGCATGGGCGACGCAGCTGCCAAACGTAGAATATCTCTCGGCCTGCGTGCCCGCCTCCGAAAGAACAGTTTTTTCCAAGTCCCGGGGATTTAGCACGTACTCTGTCATGTTGTGATTCTTTCCAATCTATCTCTCCATGCTATCCTTTCTCTCCGCATGCATAGTTGTGTTTTCTGGGCCGTAGATGCTTTCTCTTGTGATATTGTCGTAACAGTCGTAAAAATCGTCGCCTCCCTCATCCCAGTACCAATCATAGACCCATGCCAACCATCTCTTGTATAAATCCGATAGCAACATCCCATCAACCGGCCTGCTTTTCCCGTGGATGCACCAAGATCATACCTTCACTTCGATTCTGCCCCTTTTAAGCCGCAATCTGCGGAACTCCAACACTCATCGCTGGCCCGCCGCCGCCGACATCGACATCCATCCCCTCCCACGGCAACTCAGGCACCCCGACCTCAGCCATAACCCTCGCCACGACGCTCTCAAAGGCATCCCGCTCGATGATGGCCCCGAAGTGGATGCAGTCCACCACGCCGCAGAACTCCCTCTTGAGCGCCTCGATGACTGGCTCCTGCATCAGCGCCTGCGCGCCGTACCGCGCCGCGAGCTCGAACCACGCCTGCACCGGCGTCAGCTCGATGTCGCCCGGGTTCAGCGTCTTGGCCAGCGAAAGCAGCGACCGCAGAGTCAGCGCGCTGCCGGCGCCTGAGTGCGCGTGCCACGTGTGTTGCGTCTCGACCTCGCGGCGCCGGATCGAGCGGTACACACGCTCTGGCGCGGAAGACATGCACATTGTTGAGGCCATCATCGTGTGACCCGAGGCCGCCTTGGTCACGTCGGCGTGGCGCGGGTACTGGCGCGGGTGGAAGTGGTCCCAGCAGATGTGTTCCATCCTGTTGGGTCGACGGTTAGCATATGATAAATCTCCAAGGCCTTTGCAGTTTTCAAGTTTGAGGGGGTACTGAAGAGACTTACGCAAGGATGAGGTTGATGGCGATGATCTCCTGCTCAGGAGACAGCTGATCCGGCGTAGCAGGCCGCACCGGTGTTGAGAGGTTGCTAGTGGACGAAGAGCTGATCTGGAAGCACGGCGTGCCAAGAGTAGCGTCCTTGCTCATCGTGACGGTGATGTCGCCCATGTTGACGTCCCCGAACAGGTCGGCAGGGGGGTACGGGTCGTAATCCAACGGCTGCGCCATTGACACATCCTCCGGCAACATCTGCTGCTCTTCCGCGCTGAACACCTGCGTATCCGTCTGCTCCTGCTGGAACTGTTGTTGTTGCTGCGGCGGCGGCGCGGGGACGTGGGAGTGCTGCGGCTGGCACGGGTGAACCTCCACCGGCTGCTGCATCACCTCCTCGTACGACGGCTCCTCCACCGGCGTCTCCTCCGCGGCGGCGATCCTCACCTCGCCGACGAGGACATCCTTCTCCTTGCCCTTCAGCTCCTCGGGCACCCTCAGCCCCCGGGCCCTCAGCGCGCCCTTCATGCCCTCGTTGTCCCGGCGGTACGCGAGCACCTCCTTCTCCGCGGCGGCGATCATGTCCCGGAACTTGCACACGTCGAGCTCGAGCTGCTTGATGTAGTTTGCCTTGCGCGTGCGGTGCTGGATCTGCGCCTTGCGGACTTGCTGCCGTCGAAGTTTCGCCTTTTCTTTTGCGTGGTCCGCGGTAGTGGCAGACTCGGCTGGTTTGCAGATGGTGAGGTTAGCTTGCTCGTTCTTTGTATCTCGTGATGTCGTCGACGTCTTAAATAATGATAGTTCGATGAGAATATAAGGGCTCCGAAATTATCAAGGAGGATATAACGAAACGAAGCAACATCTCCAGGACGTAAAACAAAGGTAATGAGACATGGGGGTTCGCGGCTCGTGGTTCGATGGAATCTTTGGTGTAAGTGCCAAAGTGGGCGTGTGCCCACACATAATGCGGGAAGCAGAGCCAGCAGACTTCCGAATCCAGCGAGTTTGATTCCAGAAGCCAAGGAAAGGGTTCAGACCGAGATCTTCGCAAACCCGGTAGCGGTGTACGCATCGGGTGGGCAGGAAAACCGGTCGTCTGGTGGTGGGGGACCACACCTTGGAATCAAAAAGCCGGGCTCGGGATGCAGGGACACACAACACACCACAGACACTCACACACACACACTGGTGCGCTTCATCGCTCGCGAGGTCCGCTGGGGGAGGGGAAAAGCGCACGCACACGCGCGCCTCCAAAAGATTCCCAACGCAACCACGCCATCTCGCCTCTTAGCGGCGGGAAAGACGCCACCCGTGCTGGCTGCGATGAGGAATCATTGCAACAGCCAGACCCAGAAGACAAGACGATCAAATAAAAAAAAGCAAACACCCCTGCTTGCCCACTCTCGACCGCTCGCCCGTGACAAATCAATTACTGTATTCCAATGCAGTAAGACATAAGAAAGGTCGAGATGCAGCGCCGTGGAAAGGAAATGTGAGGTGATCGCCAGAGAATCCCAGCAACGCAGCATCAAGCAAAAACCCCATCGAACCAGGGAAGAGCCGCGAATGAGAATGGATGATGGAATCTTGATATCCGAAAAGGGGACAACATCTGCACGAAATAAATCGGAACTCACATGAACCCTGCCGCCGCTGGTGCTGGTCCAGCGGCTGCGGAGAAGCACTGCTCGTGCTGGGTGCCGTCACCGCTGCCGCCGATGAGAAACCCGAGGTGCCCGGCGGCGGCCCCTCAGTCACGAACTGCACCCGTCCCGCCCTCTCACTCTCCTTCTCGCCCTGCCAGTAATCCGAGAAGGAGGGCCTGTTGAAGTTGTTGTTGTCGACGTTGCTGCCGCCCCTGTCTTGCCGCTGCCCCTCCCCCGCCGCCGATGGCGCCGCAGCAGCCTCATTCGACAGCCGCACCTGCTGATGATCCGCCATAACCGCTCACCGAAATGTCTGATGAGGAATCAAACAGCTCCAAAAGAGAAGGTCGGTCCGGGCGTGGGAGTGTGAGAGATGGCGCCCACAGAAAAAGACGGTGAGAGGACTCGTTTGTTTTAAGAACCGGCGATTGGACCCGAAGATATGGAAACGAATGATAAGAGCAGCAAATGGTCCGTCTAGATATGCTGTTCCGCTGAATCCGTCCTCTTGTCTAGACGAAGAAAAATCTCCACGCGGGGCGGACGAAAGAGGCAGAAACGTTGGAATGGGGAAATCGCAAAGACTTAAGAGAAATGGGCGATTCCAAATTCCCATCTCTCTATGCACGCCACTGGGGAGGAGGACCCTCACTCGCCTTTTTTTTTTCCTGCTACGGCTGCCGCTGCCGCTGCGTGGGATGGCAAGAGGAGTTAACAGTACCTAGGAGCCCACTCAATGTACCCTCAGTCAGAACGATCCGACGGCAGAGGGGGAGGGGGGGAATGTGGTGCCTGTCGGCGCTTGCTAGACATCAGGGTTTGGGCTTGACGTCCGGGGGCTGGCTGTGTCCTGCTTCAAAGGGCGGAAAGAGGAGAGACCAGACCAGGGGAGGAAGGGCTGCCAAAGGGCGCTTATCCAGTTGTAGAGAAGCGTCGTGCAACAGACTCCAAAGCACCTCCCCAAAAAGAAGGGCGCTGGGGCTGATCTCACGTGCCTTGGGCGGCAGAGCTGCAGTGTCGCGGTTGCAGTGCAGTGTAGTGTGTAGCGTGTGGCGTGCGTGTGTTACCTCAGCTTTGGAGATTTGTATTTGATGGACCGGACACTTTATCCCTTTTCCGCCTCAAATGCCCGTGGATGACAATTTCCTCGATTTGTCAATGAATACGGGGGAAGGAGTCCCATCCATAGCTACTACCTCAGCCAAGTTTCGCTAGAGGAGAGACTGTTGGATTTTGGCATCGGGTAAGATGGGTTGTTTTTGAAATGACTCTTCATTTTTCAAATACGAGATGGCCTCGTGTACATCGACTGCTACTCTGACTCTCCTTGCGGATCCCCGATGCTTGAGAGAGAGGCTGAAATGCTCATTTGACATCTCCCTTCATCTGTCTTCTCGTCCAACGACATGACCTATACACACGCCCAACGCCTTGCGGGAATCATATCTCCACTGCCAAATTGGCCCGAAATCGCTTTTTGTTTTGCCGCCCAACGCCGTATTTGATGCATCCTTCAAGTGTCCCCATTATGAGTCCTCAATCGTCGTCTTCATCCTCACTAGCCGTAGCTGTGTCTTCCTCAACATCTGTCTCGGGGACGTCGTCTTCCTCCTCATCGCTATCATCGTCGCCAGCTTCCATATTAAGGCCCGGGATAGCTTGGTATTGTACGTAGTCTCCCTGGATCCAGCGCTTGCTTACGGGCAGCTGGTAAGGGTCAAAGGGAAAGTAAGGGTCGAGCTGGTACGACTCCTCATCCTGTGCTCCGGAGCCTGTGTCCCGGAGAGCGCCTCCTGTGCCGTACGTGTCCGACACAAACTGCGACAATCTGATGCGCTTGTTCTCCTCCACACGCGGGAAGATATACATCAGGCCGAGCTTGTGGGCCAGTGTCGCGAATTCTTCGACGATCGCGGGCGCGCAGATCTTCAGCGGGTTCATCTTGCAATACACACTCGCCGACAGCTCCTCCCTCATCCCTTGCATCCACTCTAGCTCGTTGCCCAGGTACGATGCGGGGTCGTCGCGGTCGACAAACTCGGGCGTATCCACGATCAGGTCGCGCCAGCGGAAGCAGAACATGTACAGCGCAGCCTGGACTTGCGCGTAGTAAATTTGGTGTCGTCGCAAATCGGGTCCTCTCGCGTCGGGGTCGTGCTTCACGCGGTAGATTTGCATCTGCTTGAGTAGGAGGGCGAAGACGGTGCGGACCAGGTCAGGCGGGACGTGAGCGCCTCTCGCCATGAAACCCGCCAGGTATGTAGCCGCTGCCTGTCGTACGAAGCTCGGTCGATTTTGGGAGCCAAAGATGTGCATCAAGCTGCCAACGAAGGTATCGCGCAGGCGTGCCGACATCTGGCCGAAGTGGAAGAGGAGGAATTGTGTGTGGCGAGACTTGTATGTTGGCAGAACGATCTTTCCGAAAGACTGCACCAACAGGGCGTAGCGTCCCCAAGCCTCGTCCGAGTCGGGGTTTTCGAAAAGTGGTGTATAGTGATCGAATAGTGTGTCAAGGATAGCGTCCAGCTTCTCGACGTTGCACTTAACAATGCGGATCTTTTCTTCCTTATCGTCAAAATCCGAATCATCGCTGTCGACGGACTCGTCGTCGCTGTCCTCCTCCTCGGCTTCTTCATCGCCCTCCCATGACCCAGTGTTTAGTGACTTTCCAAGTGCGTACGCAACCGATGCCGTGAGGTCGTCGTCGAGGTCGTCAAGATCCGTCTGCATCTGCACATCGATCTTGACTAGGCGCGAGAGGAGCACGTCGATAATGTCAAGATCCAGCTCTCCGGCGTAGTCAGAGAGCTTCAGTAGGTTGATGACGTAGGAAACGAACATCCTCTTCGGGTCGTCATCGAAAGGAAACTTGGTGTCGAGCAAGTTGCGGAGAACGGGAGTGGCAGCCGGGAACATCTGAAGGAGGTATTGGAGACCGGTATGCAGACGTTCGCGCATGGTAGAGCGGCTGACGGGAGGAAAGTCACCAACGCCCCATTCGGACTGCCTGGAGTGGCAGAATTTCTCGACAATCATGGACAGCACATGCGTCAGGTAGGACCCCTGAGCGCTAATGAGGGCAGCCAGGAACTGGATGTAGACCTTGAAGAAGTCTTCGTCTCGGCCGAGCCAAGAGACTTGAAGAACGGTTCTCACGAGACCATTGCAGGCCTTGTTCTTCAAGAGAGGGACGCAGCTAGTCAGCGCCAGAACGTAGCACTTGAGCTCCTGGGGCTTGAGGGTATCCTCTTCTTCCCCAGCGACAGGCGGCAAGTATCGCTGCTTATCGTTGGCGAAGATCTCCTTCAGATTGTCGTATTCCTCATCCTCCCCCATGAGGTGCTCCTCGAGAGCTTTCCGGACTTCCGCGTTTACCTCGTCCATCGACCGACCGCCGAACTCGAAAACGCGATTGTTCATCTCGTTGATGAAGACCTTTCTCCGCTTGGTCGGGCTGGAGGGAGGGTCGGCTGCAACCGAATCAAGCCCCGCCTCGTCTGCTTTCCGGCGGCCCAGCACGGAAGGACGCAAGATACTCTTAATAGGCGTCGCTGTTCTCGGTGGCGGGCCAGACCGATGTCTGGAGATGGGGGTGAAGGGTCGCATGGAGATAGTCGTACGTGGTGGTCAAGGCTCGTTCTCAGGCGCTTGGAAGGGAAACTCGCAGAGTGGCGGCACGGTGTCGGGCTATTCTCATAGACTGGTAGATGTGTTGCGCAAGGATTCGCAGAAACACGTCATGCATATCTGGTTCTTTTGTGAAAGCAGCGTCGGGGCGTCTATTGTCCTCGAGGTGTTGCTGGATTGAAGTGGCGGCCGACCGAGAGATTCTTTCGGCGGTTTGTTGCCTGGATAGTTTGGTGATAGGTCAAAGGCTGCCCATCACTTTTTTTTCTTATGCTAGGTAAGGTAGGCGCGGCACGGATTTGTTTGGGCCTTGCATCCACTGGCTGGATAAAATTTTGAGACTGGAGGGGCTGCGCACGTGCCCAATGCCGCACTCAAGACCCCTGAAGTGGTCCTTGGACCGTGCACCTTTCGTCACAAGCGCCTTACAGTTTTAAGTGGCTGATGAGAAGCTGGGGAATCATTGATGGGGCCTTCTCCTATTGGGCACGTTGCAATAGCTGCCTAAGCCGTTGTGTAAGTCGAATGAAGTACATGCGTAGTTGAATCCGCAAGTCATGAAGCTCGCCGATATGTTTCATTCATGGGTGAGAGTCATAATGAGTCCCCATTTCAAAGTGGCAAGAATCAACGCCAAAGAAGTGATTGCGCGACAGAATGGAACTGGAATTAGAAGCTATCTAGAGTGCTGTAGCCATCTGCCAAGGAAATACGGCCCGGGTCCGTTCCTTTAGCTCGAATGCTTGCTGAACTGCTCTCTGCCGATGCCTTAAGACCACTCATGGGTCTGACATGGCTGACTGAATCGCAACGCGAAAAGGGGGAATCTATCAACAGCCAATTGTTCAAAGGAAAGAAGAAATTCCTGTCCAGTCGACGCCCTTTTGGGTAAACCTTGCTGCTCTCCGACCTTGACGTGACTCCTGGGGCCCCTCATATACACCTGTATGCCCCGCCGTACCTTTTTCAATGATAATAGAACACTTCCCGGCCCTGTACTTATACACACTTGCACGTATGTCCAGGTATCGTCTTTGGCCGGGCTTGTACGTTCTCAAGTCGCGACCTGTACATATATGTCGAGAGTAGAAAAGGTGTCTGCAATCCTAACACAATACACGACCACAACCGCAAGAGTTCACGCAGAACAGACTAGTAGCCGTCCGCGCCACCCGTGCCGTTGTGTCCGGTCTGAGCGCCGTACATGTAGTTCGGGTCGGCACTGCCGTCACCCTGTTGAGCTCCGAGAACGTTATTCTGAGGCTCAGCCTGGAAGCTTCCGGCGCCGGCTGGCGGGTTGGCGCCGTATCCGCTGCTACCGGGGCGGTGGGAGCTCTCTCCTCTGTTGGACTGGGATTGCTGCTGATTCCGTCAGTCAGGCTCCAATTGCAAAATTGACGCACACAATGTGTGGCAGTGTCATATCATGGCTATACGTACTTCCCGATACTTCGAAAGGTAGATTTTGAGTGCCTCGGCGTAGTTCTCGAAGCCCAGAGATGTCATGGCGAACAGAATGTCTTCACCGTTGACCGTCTTGCGCTTCTCTTGGTGGCACTTCTCCGATGCTGTGATAGGTCAGGTTTCTCTTCTGCGAAAATCCTTGCTGGCTAAGGGGGAGCAGCTGTGGAGCAAACAAGCTTACCTTCACTGGTGATGAATGAGATG